GCGTCCCTCGACGCCCGGGTGCGCGTCGTCCTGTCCCGGGGCTTCTGCCGCCCGCCGCCCTCGCCAGCCGCTTCCTTCAGAGGACCTCTCCTTCCCGGAGGCTCCACCGCTACCCTCGGCCGGAGCGGGCGCCGCCGCCGCCGGAGCACCCCCGGCCTCTCGGCGTCGGTTAAGCCGCTGCCTGCGGCGGGAGGCCCAGGGTTTTGCAACGAGCGGTTCATACAACCTGCTGCTGCAAGTGGAGAGAACCCGCGGGTGTTTAAACGACGCCGCGCGGGCCTGTGGAGTTGAAGGGGGCGCGCTCGCTGTCTTCGCCACGTCCCGAGGCGGGGCGGGGGCGGGTAGAGGCGGCGCAGGCCCGGCGCGCGTCCCGGAGCTGCCGGTAATCGCGCTCCTGCCCGGTCTGGTCAGACTCCTGCGGAAGAGACTTGTAAAGCGTTTCCCTGCCTTTCGGGGCTTGGACAGTCTGAAAGGACGCACGCCTTGCACGGTGTGGGGTGGGGCGGCTGTTGCTGTCTTCTGCACGGGAGGAGGATCGGCAACATCCCTGCCTCTGCCCACGGGATGCCGGTGGCACCCTCCAGTTGTCTCCAGGCCTTGCCAAAGGCCCCCGGGGGGGAGGGGGGGGTAACATTGGCCCTGTTTGAGAACCACTGATATAGATAAAATAATAGCTTGCAATTTTTGAGTAATTAGGTGCCAGGTACTGTTCTAAGTCTTCTAATACTCATTTAATCTCCTCCTCTCCAGTCTTTTTTTTTCTTTTTCTCTTTTTATAAATATATTTTTATTGATTTCAGAGAGAGGAAAGAGGAGGGAGAGAGATAGAAACATCAATGATGAGAGAGTCATTGATCGAGCCCACAACCTGGGCATGTCCCCTGACCAGGAATGGAACCCGGATCGCCTGGATCCTAGGTTGACGCTCAACGGCTGAGCCATGCCCGGCCGGGCCCTCTAGTCTTTTGAAGTAGACCCTTTATTCCATTTTAAAGAATCTTTACATTGGTTTTTGAGAGAGAGAGGAAGGGGGAGAGAGAGAAACATGGATTTGTTGTTGTTTCACTTATTTCCGCATCATTGGTTGATTCTTCTGTGTGCCCTGACCGGGGATCGAACCCTCAACCTTGGCGTATGGGGATGATGCTCTGACTCACTGAGCTACTACTAGGCCAGGGCCTCCTTATTCTGCGTTAGACGTGATGAAGCTGAGGCACAGAGAGGTTCGGTAACTTGCCGGAGGTTATACAGGTAAGCGGGCGCAGAGATGGAATTGACACCAGCAGAGGCTGGTTGTAAACTTAGTGCTGTTCATCACTAGTATGCGCTTTTCTCCGTATTTCCTGGGAATATTTTCCTGACATCGAGTAAAGTTCCCAGCTACAATTTGCTGTATACTGTAATTATAGTTTAATGGTATAAGGTTCTCTGGTTTAAAGCACTGCACACTAAACAGAGATAATGTAATGGTTAACTGGCACAGTTGAATAAGTTGCCCACACTAATATGTTAGAGAGTGTCTGGGACTTGTTTTATAGTCTTTCTATTGTAAATCCCACTTTATTTAAGCCATTGGCTTTTCATTAGTAACTACTTTTCATTGCCTGCTATTTTCATTCTAAAAATTATAACATGTTCATTAAAAAATGTAACATGTAAAATTAGGACGAGTAGTGTGCCACTTTTACCCGGGCATGACTCAGGTATGTTTGCTTCCTGTTTTTTAGTGTAGCCAATTTTTTGCAATGTGATTGTAGATGTATTTGTAGTTAATGTAGTTACTGTATTTGTTGTCTTGTTTTTTCCATTTAAAATGGGATCTTTAGATGTTATGACATAGGCTTCACAATCAGTGTCTTTAGCGACTAGTGTTCCACTGCGCAGTGTGGTATACTTCAGAATTCTTCCTTGTTTTCCATTCCAGCTGTTTAGGTTTCCTCTGCGTGTGCTTCAGTGACCGTCTCTGTGTGTTGTTCCTTTTTATGTAGCTCAGGTTATTTGGTCTGAGCCTCTAAAGGGCAGCAGCCCTGTCTGGGTGGCTCCAGTGGGTGGAGCATTGTCCTTTGGGCCAAAAGGTTGCAGGTTCGATTCCTGGTCAGGGCACATACCTAGGTTGCGGGTTCAATCCCTACTTGGATGGCTGTTTCTCTCTCTCAAATCAATAAAAACCTACCCTAGAGTGAAGATAAAAATATTTTAAAAATTAGTAAGAGGATAATAGACAGGGTCATATGAAGAAAGGATGAAGGGACTACTTTCTCTTCATCGCTGCTTGTTAATACAGTTACTTTGGGTCTTTCACACGTATGTTATGTATATGTGTATGTGTGCATGCGTGCGTGCACACTTTCTTAGATTTTCAGCAAGGCCTGTAGTGGATTATCTTTGATGGGTTAGGTCAGTTGACATGCAAGCTGAGCTTAACCTCTTCTTCTCTCCAGGATGTTTTAGAAGAATGTGTGTCTACTCCCAAGCTGTCTTCTTACGCTGGATGGGTGGTAGATCATGTCCTACCCCACACACAAGAGAAGCTATCTCCCTCGGAGACTTCAGCATCCTCGGCATCCACTTCAGGCCGAGACCAACCTTCATTTGTTCCCACATCTCCCGTCAGAAGCGTTGCCTTCTCACCAGCATCCCCAGGAACATCAGCAATGCCAGATGGGACCAAGGTAAGGTTTTTAATCAGCTAAAGACAAGAGAAGGGTGGTTGCAAAGTTGAACTGTGTAATATTGTCACATGACGACTTTACCCTGGAAAAAGTAAAGATTGCTTCTTGTAGCTGTTTGCAGTGGCAGTATTAACCATATCACCCAGTGTTTTCTTTATGAGACGGAGAGAGAGAAATTCCCCCCCGTTCTTAGTACCAAGAATAGTAATTAACGTCATGAGCAATTCGATTGTTTTTCACAGGAACCTTGCATCTGCTTAACTAGTACGGTCTCCCTTTCTGTGCTGGCTGCTGGGGGCATAGAGTAAAACTTATACCTGCTCTTCTAACTTACATACCTTATCACTGGTTCTGGATGAGCTTTTCCCCTATTTTTTGCTCTGTTTGTCCTTGCCTTTGTTTGTTTCTCTTAAAATCAGTAAATTGTTATAGGCGGTGTTTTCTCTTTTGCCTTTTTTGGAGGCATACTCTCAGTAGTTTGCCTTTCGACAGTAGTCCTCCCTTATCTGAGGGTTCACTCTCCATGGTTTCAGTTACCTGCAGTAGACTACAGTGTGAAAATTATTAAGTGGAAAATACGTTTTAGATCGCGCACCGTTCTGAGTAGCGAGATGAAATCTTGTGGCTCCTGGTCTGAGTGATCCTCTGTCCAGCATATCCACGCTGTATACGCTGCCTGTCCATTAGTTGCTCAGAAGCTGTCTTGGGTCAGCTCTGCTGTTGCAGTGTTGCAGTGCTGATGATCACGTAACTCTCATAATGTCCAGGGACTTAACTGGCCCACAGTGCCAGAGGAGTGGTGTTGGCAATCCGGATATGCCCACAAGAAGCCAGTTGTAAAGTGCCTCCTTGGAGTCAAAGGGGGCACGTTCTCAACCTAATGAGGAAAAATTGTGTGCTGATGTTGCTAAGACCTGCGGTGACAATGAATCTTCTATCTATTAAGTTGCAAAAAGAGAAAAATACGTGCTGGTTTTCCTCATTCACCTCAAGCTGCAGGAGTTAATGGGCACACTGCCTGATGAGAGCCTAGTTAATATGGAAAAGGCATTTTACTAGTGGATGGAAGGCATGACCAAAAAGCTCATTTGATGGGTAGCAGACGTGTTATGCAGGAAAGTACTAAGCCTATGTGAAGACAACGGATATAAGCAAGGGATCCCCTGACATGAGTGACACCAGGCTGTTTACTGCAGTGAGGGACAGTTATACAGATTGATGAATGGTTTGGACCGAATAAGGCGGACTATAAATACACAGGAGTGTGTTTTATTTATTTATTTATGTATCATTTTTTAAAAAAAACATTGATTTCAAAAAGAGAGAGAGAGAGAGAGAAACATGTATTTGTTGTTCCACTTATTGATGCATCACTGGATGACCCTTGTGTGAGCCCTGACCAGGGGTGGAACCTGCAACCTTGGTGCATCAGAGCGATGCTCTAAACCAGCTGAGCTACCCGGCGAGGGCTACCATTTAACCTTTTTTTTTTTTTTAAGGTTTTGTTTTTTTTTTTTAATTGGTTTTTAGAGAGAGAGGAGGGGAGAAAGAGCCACCCCGGCTATGGCAGTGATGATCTGTTTTCTGTGTGTCTGCTTGACATTTTTACTGACTTGATCCAGGGATCCAAATACAGGGCTTTGCCTTTCCATCCCTCAAGTCTTCCCAGCTCTTTTTGGTTTAATATTTCAGAAAGACTGAATAAGGCAAGATGACCGTTGGTATCCCTAGACACATATCTTCTTAGGTTAGCATTCCCCGAAGAAGAGAAAGCCTTCCTAGACAGCTACATCAGAGAAATTCAAAGATGGCCTCTGGCCTGGCTGGGCTCTACACCTCTTTGCTGAAGCAGACACGGGCCACAGAAGGCTAGAGGACTTTGCTAGCTGGTCACGTGCTTGCCCCTGAGCCAGGAAGGTGAAAGAACTGGGGATATGGGTTGGGTTGTTCCATCCTAACCCTCCTGGTACAGGTGGACACTGTTGGAAGACTAGGAAGTTTGCTGGGCAGATCAAAACAAACAAGCCAGCAGAAAAGAAACAAGTTTGTGGTGTTTCTTTTTCTCAAGGAAAACAATTAGAATAAGGTCAATATCATGAAAAACACACTAATTCTAATCTAAGTTGTTTTGTTTTCGTCGTGATTTATAAGTAGGAACGTGGTTTTTGTCTTGAAGGGATAACACCAGCTGTACAGTCTTAACAGCTTAATCTTCCCACCTTCTGTCTACATAGGGCAAACCTGAGTCCCAGCACACAGAGCCGATGGTACTTCAGTCCTCCCGGGGCACCAAGGTGGAGGGCTGCATCCGAATGTACGAGCTGGTGCACAAGATGAAGGGGACAGTAAGTGACCCGTGGAGCAAGGCTGGCCCAGCCACAGGGAGCCACGTTTAGACATAGTTCCTCGGGGTCTGTGAACGTACACTGCATGCTGGTCATTGTGCCTGAATTATGACCAGCGCTCAGATTCATCTGGAGAGAGTACAATGTAGCGGCCAAGAATGAGCTCTCTGAAGCCAAGTCTGGTTTCAAATCCTTGCTCTTCTGTTTCACATGGGATTCTCAGTAGATTCCCCTGAAATCCTCATAAGTGTGCACAGGATAGAGGCTCAACAGTGCAGGGCCGTTGATAGTGTGCTGGTAAATATCTGTCCCTTCCCAGCTTATGCTGGTGACATAAACCACATGGGGCAGACTGGAAGAGCCTCCCAGATCCGAGTTTAAAGATCAACCCAGAGGACACAGGTGACTGGGCAGAGGTTCTGAGAAGGACATGGGTGGCTCCATGCCCTTGGGGGGTCTCTGCTGGAGTTAAGGGTTGACAGGAAGGTATTCCACAGGGGTAAGTGAGCAGGGTGGCGGTGGAGCCCCCCAGAGCAGGTGCTGGTCCTTTTCAGGAGGGCCTGCGGCAATGGCAGGAGGAGCAGGAGCGGAAGGTGCGAGCCCTCTCCGAGACGGCATCTGAGCAGCTGAAGCGGTTTGACGAGCGGAAGGAGCTGAAGCATCATAAGGAATTCCAGGACCTGCGGGCAATGATGGAGAAGAGGTGGGCTTCCCGGGTTTGGTCGGGAGTGTGGGGGTGTCAGCCGGAACTGTTCCCAGCAGGAAACCCAGAGGGAAAGAGGACTCGGGCACCTTCTGAGTCCTTAAATATCAAAGTGAAACAGCCACGGAAGCATATAACCCAGAAAAATGGCCAACCTTAGAAAGCGACCAGTGTCTCACAGAGGGAGGCATTTAGGAGAGAGGAAGCAGCATTAGGAAGCTCCCTGAGGGATTCTCCTGCCATTTCTCTTTCAGCTCCAGAGAAGCCCTGGGGCAGCAAGAGAAGCTAAAAGCTGAGCATCGTCACAGAGCAAAGGTCAGCGCCTGGGAGCATCCACATGGGTGTTTAGTGTCTGGCAGACAGGTGTGAGGGCCTGGCCCCTCTCCTCTGTGTGACTGACCCTGGGCAGTTCTGGGGCCTGTCTGTGAAAATATGTCACCCACATAGGATTTGAGATGTAGAAAGAGAAAGCCTAGGAGCCCCTCAGAGAAGTGACTTGACAGCCCTTTCTGTAGATTCTCAACCTGAAGCTGCGGGAGGCAGAGCAGCAGCGCCTGAAGCAGGTGGAGCAGGAGCGGCTCTGGAGGGAGGAGGGCCAGGTCCGCCTGCGGAGCCTCTATGCCCTGCAGGAGGAGCTGCTGCACCTCAGCCAGCAGCTGGACTCGGCGGGCCAGCAGCCGGACTCAGCAGGCCAGCCCAGGGACCTGCCCAAGGTGGACCTGTCAGCCTTCCGGACCCGTGGCAACCAACTGTGCGGCCTCATCTCGGGCATCATTCGGGCCACTTCAGAGGTGAAGGACTGCAGGGGAGTCTGTCTTCGTCAGGGGGTGTGTGTGTGTGTTATTGCATTGCAAATTGGATTCAAATAGGTAATCTTACCTTTGATTAAAAAAAAAAAAGGTGGTTTTTTCTGATTGCAAAATACTTCAGTTGGTTCAGTGATGTATATTGATTGCCTGCTATAGTTACAACAAAAATTAAGATCTTATAGAAATGCCTATTTCTTTTCTCAGTTATCGTTGTATTTTGAATACAATTGCTATTATTATGAAAATATGTTGGTGTTTTTAAGCCAATGTTAAAAACTGCAAGTATTGCCAGGCTGGTGTTGACCTATATGACCCAGGAGATCATGGTTCGATTTCTGGTCAGGGCACATGCCCAGGTTTCCGGCTTAATCCCTAGTAGGGAGGGGGTGTGCAGGAGGCAGCTGCTCAGTGACTCTCATCATTAATGTTTCTGTCTCTTTCTCCCCTCTCCCTCTCCCTCCCTCTCTCTGAAGTCAACTAAAACATATTCATATTAAGGAAAAAAAACACTGCCAGGCCAGGTGTGGCTCAGTGGTTGAGCGTCGACCTAGGATCCAGGAAATCAGGGTTCAGTTCCCGGTCAGGGCACATGCCCAGGTTGCGGGCTAGGCATCCGATCAATGACCCATCATTGACGTTCCTCTCTCTCTCCCTCTCCTTTCCTCTCTCTGAAGTCAATAAAGATATATTTTTAAAAAAACACTGCAAGTAGTGCCTTAACATATAGTTTGTACTCAATAAATTTTTTTAGAGCCAAAGATTTTTTTTTTTAATGTTTTCATTGACTTGTAGAGAGAGGAAGGGAGGAGAGAGAAACATCGATGACAGATCCAGAGGCTGCTCTGATTTATGTTTGATTGTTTTGAGAGCAGGAGTACTTCATGGTGGGTGGTGTGTACTTGTTTCTGCACCACTCAGAGGCCTGTTGTACCTGATGGTCTTTCCACTTGTGATGTTAGGGTGGACTAGCGGCTTCACATACTGTCAGCCTGACCTTCCATTGCAGAGGTTCCTGTGTGCCTTTAGCTCAGGAGTCAGTGGCCACTGCTGACCGCTCATTATTTCATTGGGGGGGTGGTAGGTTTTAAGTTTTCCTAATTTTATCATTCTTTCTGGAATTCAGCTACAAAGAAGAAATGTTCCCCATAAACTTTATCTCGAAGCATAGTCTGTAGAGGAAAGAAAGGGTAAATATCTGATACTTCCCCTTACCGGTTTTCAGAGTAGTGAGTTGCCTTTCTCGCATCTCCTATGGCAACCGATGAGGGTTGTGCTCCTTTAAACTATCATTAGGGCCCAGCCAGGCGTGGCTCAGCGGTTGAGCATCGACCTAGGATCCAGGAGATCAGGGTTCGATTCCCGGTCAGGGCACATGCCCGGGTTGCGGGCTGCAGCCGATCAATGACTCTCTCATCATTGAGGTTTCTATCTCTCTCTCTCTCCTTTCCTCTCTCTGAAATCAATAAAGATATATTTAAAAAAAAACAACAAAAAAACTATCATTAGGGACTTAGGAATTTAGGGGAAAAAGGTAAGTCTGTCTACCTCCACCCCGCTAGTGGGAAGAGGAGCCAAGGGCAGGGCAGACAGTGTATAAAAGCACAAGTGTAATTATCTCATGAACTTGAAAGTAAGTTCAAAATCACTGTTAATACATGGAATGCAAATGAAAACACCGTGTCATTTCTGTCTAGACTATTGTCAGAAGTACTCCACCCAGGGTTGGTGGGTGGGTGTTTATGGTAAGTTGGCATTACCTTTATGAGAGCAGGGGAGAATTGGTATGAATGCTACAGCATTAATGCAACAGTTCCCCGGTGTAACCACAAGCTCTGCCTGTCACCCAATAGAATGGTTTTCCCACGGCAGAGGACCAGGCTGTAGCCGAGCGAGCGCTGCAGGAAATGCGGGGTCTCATGGCGAATGCCAGGGCCCTGCAGGACAAGAGGAGGCAGGAGGAAGAGGCGGCCCAGGTGAAGCGGCAGGAGTCACAGGTGCAGCAGGGGCCAGAGGCCCGTAAAGAGAGCCCAGCTCCCAGCCAGGGCCCTGGAGGGAAGCAGAAGGAAGGTGCGTTCTGTTGCGGGTATGATCCTTGGGCTCGCTGTAAGTTTCGGGATGCGAAAGGGAGCACAAGTGTGTTTTGAATCTTAAGCTATGGGAAAATTTGCCAGGTTTGTTACGTAATGTCAAATTCAGCACTGTGTCTGAATTCCATTAGTTTTAGTCGCTGTGGAGCCTGGCTTCAGATTCCAACGCTTTCCACAAGGACTTGAAATTCTGTATAATTCCAGTAGATGTATTATTCCAAGTATGGCTGCCGCTGAGTATTTTCAGTAAATACGTACAAAATACATGTTTGTTAAAACGTAGGAGAGCCAATACAGGGTAATGGTTGGGAATGCTGGCTATGGAACCCGAGCAGGGGAATCGAGTTTTCCTGTTTCCAGGGAGTGTGACCTGACAGAGTAGTTGACCTTCCCGTGTCTGTTTCTTTATCTGTAAAATGAAGGTAATAATAGAACCCACTTTGTGGGATGATGATGACAGTGAAAGCAGTTAACACATCACATGCACAAGGTGATTAGCACAGCGCCTGGCTCACATCACATGTTCATAAATACCAGCTGTCGGAGACCTGTCTCATTCCTCAGGCCTCCAGGTGAAGGTAGAAGACAGGACGATGCAGTGGTACCAGCAGCTGCAGGACGCCTCCAGCCAGTGTGTGCTGGCCTTTGAGGGACTGACCAGCAGCAAAGACAGTCAGGTAGGGAGGGGTGGGAGCCGGGGGTTCTCTGGGCCTCACAGTGCTCTGACCGGCCTTGTGTCCCAAAGTTGCACGGCTGGCGTGTCACATTTCCCTAATCCTGATGGCATCTCCTCGGTTCCCAGAAAGCGATCTGCCTTCTCACTGTTCTCTTTCAGGTCAAAAAGATAAAGATGGACCTGCAGAAGGCAGCCACTATCCCAGTGAGCCAGATCTCCACCATTGCAGGTGGGCCGGGGTAACTTCCCTTCATTGTTTAAAATGCCAGCCCTGCTCGTCTGTACGGTTCCCGGGAGCAGAGCATGTTGGCCCGTTGGGTTGGGTGTATGTAAGGGGTGCGCCTCCCGGTTTACTCTCCGTTGTTTCCTCTTCAGAACAGGGTAATCGTTATGTGATTGTTGACTCATTTTTAAAATAAGCTGTGTGTTAATAGTAATTATTTAGGGTGGCTCTGACCTGAAATTGAAAGTTGCTGCGGGAACATCACTAAGGGACCTAGGATGTGACTCAGGGTCCTGGCTTTTGCCCTGTGTCAGCTTTTCCAGACTTGAAGCCTCCCTGCTGGTGCTTGAGACCTTCTTTTCCTCTCAAACACTGGGATTGGAGAGCAGGAACCAGGCAGGGGAAGACCCTTCTCCCTTTTTCTTTAGAAGCAGGTTCATTTTTAATAGAGCTCTGGGTGGGGGAGCCTCCAAATTGCAGACTTGCCACCGAGCCGCTGGGGAGCATGGGGGGAGGTGCTCGACAGCCGTCCACACCGCCCTGCTCCCCTTGCGCTTACCCTCAGTCTGGATCCCACACTAACTGCCAACTGCCCAGCCCCCTCCTCCGTCAGGAAATGGAGGCATCGGGCGAGAGGCTCCATTGGCTGCCCTTCACATGTACACAGCTGTGTCAACCTCTCAGTCTCCTGTTTCAAGGGATGAGTGTCCTCCATCCCTGCTTCCCTCTGCCTCTGCCTTTATCCCGTCCCCCCATCTCCTTCCAGACTTTCATCATCATTTATGGCCCTTCCCTCCTGTTCTCTGCGAAACGACTCCCTTTTACTGGCTTCTTTCCCTTTAAATGGGTGAGTCACATTCTAAATACATTTCCGTGGGTTCCACATCTGAGGGTTTTCTGGTCTACCTGGCGTTTCCATTCGGCGCTCTTGATTTTATCTTTATGAAACTCAACTCCTTTGGCTTCCATGGAGCAGTAACGTCCAGGTTCTCCTCCTACCTCTCTCTCTTCCTTGGGGGTTCCTTGGTCTCCTACCCACCTCAGCTGTAGGTGTTTCCCAGGGATCCACTCTCACCCCTCAGTTCTTCTCAACCTACACACCCCATGGCCTCACATGGTACCTGTGCACAGGTGACTCCCAAACCTACCCAGTTCATTCTGTTCCTCTGAGCTTCAGACTGTCTGGGACCAGCTCCCTGAGGGCCATCTTTGCTGGATGGCTCTTGGCTACCCCAGTGTGATGTGTTCCGGCCTGAGCTCTTCTTCCTGCACCTACTTTTCTCCTGTTTGTGCTCTGGGATCAGTAGCACTGTTATCTACTCAGTCACTTCAGCTGGAAACCCGGGAGTCATCCCCCAGCCACCACCTCCATTTCATTTGCCACATCTGATTAGGGTAACGTTACCTAAAGTAACGAGGAACTCGGCCGGGCATTGCTCAGCTGTCGATGCTGCGCTAGCTTAAATCTTGATTGTGAGTTATGGAGAACCTACTGGCAGGAGTGGAGCTGGGTCTCAGGAGCTAGAGACTTGAGGACTCTTTTCTCTCTTGTCTTGTCTTCCCTGGTACGTCTCCACTCGTAGCTTATAGACTGCTGGTCTCCAGTCCACGTGGCGGTTGCAGGGTCCCACTGCTCACGAGTGGACGTATCACAGGACCAGTCACGTTAAGGAACAGGCTCTGTCAGTTGGCTGATGGACTAAGCCAAACGACTCCAATTGCAGCCTGTGTGGGAGCCGGGGCACACAGGGTCTCTGCTACAAGTACAGCCGTTGGGAACCCGCTTCTGTGTGTCTGAGGATGGAGACAGGTCTCAGAGTAGGGGAGGTTACTGTGAGCCGGGGAGACCCTCTAGGATTTTCCTCAAGATGAAATGACTCCTTTAGGCGCATCTACCACAGCCATGGGTCTGTAACAGTTCTGCACCTGTTTCTAAGCTGTTTGTCCCTCGGCTTGGTGTGTGTTTCAGGATTAGTTCATTCCCAGGTGAGGAGTTCTGTGAAATAGTGTGCTTTCTGTACTTCTTGCATCCCCACGATGGGTATTTGATTACCGTGCATTTTTCTGCACTGTAGGCTCGGAACCTCGGTGGGGCGCACGGCACGCCTGGGTTTATGTAGACCCCTCTGTGTTTATTAGAGGGGCGAGAAGCACCCTGATCCCCAGGTGTGTTTTCTAACTCATCTTGCCTCTTCTGTGCCCAGGCTCCAAGCTGAAGGAGATCTTTGACAAGATCCACAGCCTGCTCTCTGGAAAAGCTGTTCAGTCTGGTGGGCGCTCGGTGTCCATCACCCTGAACCCTCAGGGCCTGGACTTTGTCCAGTACAAGCTGGCAGAGAAGTTTGTGGTGAGAAACCTTGTGTCAGAGGCACGGGAAGAGGAGGCTGGTGTGCAACACTGAAGTGACCCCAAGTGTTAACATCTCCCCGTCTCCCAATTCCCAGAAACAAGGCGAGGAGGAAGTGGCCTCTCATCATGAAGCTGCGTTCCCCATAGCGGTTGTGGCGTCCGGGATTTGGGAGCTCCACCCGAGAGTGGGGGACCTCATTCTGGCTCATCTTCACAAGAACTGTCCTTACTCCGTTCCTTTCTACCCGGCCTTCAGGGAGGGAATGGCTCTGGAAGACTATCAGAGGTGAGGTTGTTCTCCTTACCAGCCCCAGGGGGACTCACAAAACAGAACTTACATTTCTCCTTGCCAGGCTTTTATGTGCCTTGAATGTACTGTCAGAAAATACAACATCTTCCGTGCAGATTGGACAGCTTTCAGAACTTGTGGGTGTAGGTGCCAGAAGTCAGTGTAATTTAGTGGAGAGCGTGATGGGTCTAGAGTCCAGGCGTCTTGGGGTTGTCCCCCTGCTTTGCCATTTAATAGCTTTGCAAAGTGGTCGGTCATTCTGCCTGCCGCGCACCATTTTCCTTATCTGTGAGTGACGGGATGCCCTGTGAGCTCGCTCGCAGGTATGAGTGCTTGGGAACACAGTACCCTACAAGTGTAATAACGTGATGATGTGTTAATAACGTACTGTTAACCTTTAGCCATAAAGGGTAATCTCTGATTTGTCACCTTCGACTCGGCCTCGTCACACTGAATTTTCTCATCCACGTAGGCTGCTCGGCTACCAAGTGAAGGATTCCAAGGTGGAGCAGCAGGACAACTTTCTGAAGCGCATGTCTGGGATGATCCGTCTCTATGCTGCCATCATCCAGCTCCGGTGGCCCTATGGACCCCGGCAGCAGGTAGTTGCAAAAGCTTCCTGCCAGTAATGAGAGGTCGGTCCTTGGTCGTGTTCTGTGTGCAGGAAATGCTGCCTTCTGTGGGCCTCCAGCTGCATGCTGAGCCCGTGTGCAGCTGCTGCGTGTGCGCTCCTTAGAGGAGTCCGTGCTATCGGGAAACCTTTGCATCATCCACCGTCTATTCAGTGACGGGCTCGGCTGAGGCGTTAACTCTGTTTATACAGGAGTCCACCAGGCGGGATTCTCGTAAATCAGTCCTTATGGTCGGAAGATTTTATTAGAAGAGGGGTGAGCAAGAAGTTGTCGTGTTGGACCTGGGGTGCCGTAGGGGCCATCCAGGTCACACACCTTACAAATGGACAGCTCGCGGCTCAGCAGGCTGTGGGTGACACGCCTGACGGCGACAGCCACCGCTGGGGCCAGGGCTCCATGTGCCAGCCCAGGTCTCTTCCTTTTTTTTTTTTTTTAATTTTTATTTTGAAGATGGAGAAATATCAATCTGTTGTTCCACTTGTTTGTGCATCATTGGTTGATTATTGTATGTGCCCAACCGGGCATCAAACCCACAACCTTGGTGCTTCCGGACGGCGCTCTAACCAGCTGAGCCACCTGGCCAGGGCCAGCCCAGTTCTTCTCTCAGTAGATACAGACTAGCAAAATGGAGATGTTAACGGGCTTGGAGACCTAAAGAGAAAAGAACCCAAGAAGTTTCCCTGTGCACCTGCCACGTCCCAGGTTCTGTGCTAAGGCACCAAATGATAAATGTCTGTTTTAGGGTAACTTGGTCTGTGGAGCCCCTGAAACTGAAGCTGACAGTTGTGTGTTGAAGGGACCCTATAAATTGGGTGTGGGTCTAATGCAGGAACCTTTGAAAGCAGGACTCACTTGGCCCCTGTTGTTTCTGTCCTCAGTGTGGGCATGAGTTAGATGACCTAGGGGCTCATGTCCACTTGGTAACGGCCGAATGGTGACGATAGGAGCTGAGCTCTGAGTAAAGTGAGATCAGATTGTGACCCAGCCTCTCTCCTCCAGGTTCACCCTCATGGCCTGAACCATGGCTGGCGCTGGCTGGCACAGATCCTGAACATGGAACCCCTGTCCGACGTGACAGCCACCGTGCTCTTTGACTTCCTGGAGGTACATATGCAGCCGTCACATGAGAGAGCAGGGGTTGAAACAGCCTCCGGCCCCTGCGTGACATGAGTAGGGGAGCAGTGCAGACCCAGAGGGTGATGGTGACGGTGTCAGGGCCCAGTGACAGGTTTCTCCGTGAGCCCTAAGCAAACTGGCTTTCGATTTTTCTCCCCATTGGACTTCCCTTCCCTGTGCGGATGTCTTCTCATTGTAAAGGATGGAAAGCTGTGCGTCCCAGCACAAGTGAGAAGGGAATTTGCTTTAGAGCGGGGAAGTTACTCCCGAGACCAAGGGTAGGGTGGACAGTGGGATCTCATGAGGGCCTGGACCAGGAGCTGGGATGTCACCAGGTACCAAGAGCCTCTCTAGGGCCTATGGTCTTTCACAAGTGCACTACCTGCCTGTCGTGTCATTCTTGCTCTCGGGCAGCTTTCTCTAGTTCTCTGCGCCCAGTGGAGATGTCCATCCTGGGCTGTGTCCCTCGGCCGTGGTGGGTCACCCAGTCTAGTGGGACCGGTGTCCCCCCATTGTGACTCTCAGTTCACAAAATAGGACTCACCAGCTTGGGTCAGGTGTCTCTCTCATCGAGAAGGCTCTGGACAGTCCTGTCTGCATATGAGGGGCTGCCTCTCTAACGTCAGGGTCAGGGCCAGGGTGTCTGTGGGAAGGAGACGCTGCTTAAGGAAAGAAGGCACATGCCGTAAGTCTGGGCCATTTGGCCTGTAGTGGGAATGGTGTCTAGTCACCTGAAGTTCCTGAAGTCACGGGACCTGACGGTGATCCTGAGTCACTGAGAGCACAGTGGGATCCTGGATACTCTGCTCACCGAGGCTGCAGGGGAGGGTGCCAGACCTTTAGACAGGCTCCCTTTCAGGAAAACCAGAGAAGTCTTGGTAATTAAGCTTGGTTAACACCTGGCGGGCTGGTTAAATGGAGGTGTTACCACATGCACAGAAGCGCTTAAAAAGAAAGTTGGATTCTTGATGGGAGTGAAAGGCAAGGGCTGGTTGTGGTTTCTGGGTCATTCATGTGAGTACAAATCTTCGCTCTTTGCGCTGATGGCGCCTGTTACTCCCTCCAGGTGTGTGGCCACGCCCTCATGAAGCAGTACCAGGCCCAGTTTTGGAAGATGATGCTCCTCATCCAGGAGGACTACTTCCCTAGGTACTCCCTCCCCTGGTACTCCCTCCCCCCGGGTACTCCCTCCCGGGTACTCCCTCCCCCCCGGGTACTCCCTTCCTGGGTACTCTCTCCCCCTGGGTACTCCCTCCCCCCAGGTACTCCCTCCCAGGTACTCCCTCCCTCGGGTATTAGGCTTGTTGCGAAGACACCAGGGACTCGGTGGGTAAGACCCGTGACATCAGATACCTTGGGTGCTGCTACGCGCTGGCGTTGACATGGTTAAAAGCACCCGCATTAGATGAGCTGTTGTCTCCCACACTCTTCTTTGAGGTCTGAACAAACGGTTTTGAACTTAGTCTCTCTCTTGTTCGCGAAATGAAAAAATGAACAGGAGGATCTTGGATTCAGATTCCTGATGTTTTTTAATTCTGTTCTTTTACACGCGCCCCCCCCCATCAGTCTGGGATGGTGATTACGTGCAGTTTTGAATTAAACCCCCTCAGTGAGTCAGTTGAAGAGAGTGACTTATCAGCCAGTGTGCCTGACCCGGGGTGGCATTCGCCTCTAAGGACCCGTCTCCTTCCTCTCAGCCCATTGGTGTTTCAAGTGCAGGAAAGGCCCTGACAACCCCCCATCGCAGAGATCTTGGGGGGGAGGGGTCCTCTTTCCCATTCGCCCCTTGTCTGGGAGAAGGCTGACACCATTTAGAAGAGCCACAGCACCCTTAGTCTAGAAGACGTATCTGAGTCACCTGACCTCGCCCTTCCCCCAGCTCCTCTCCAGAGGACAGGTGTTGCTCACCACGTGTCCTCTCTGTCCCTGTAGGATTGAAGCCATTACAAGCTCGGGGCAGATGGGTTCCTTCATACGCCTGAAGCAGTTTTTAGAGGTAAGATGCCCTTCACCCCACCCATCCCACACTATTCTTTGCCTTGAACATGCCTGTGCCTGACAGGTCTCAGCCTCCATTCTTGGATCATGGTCTCTTTCTCTTGACTGTTCCAAACCCTGCTTGTTCGTAATTTCTCTGGACCTGTGAGGGCTGCCGTTTCTCCTTACTCTGTGCTGCCTGTGGGGACACTGCCCCAGGGGAAGGGTAAAAGCTGCCCGATGAGTCTCGTTTCACCCGTGCATTTCTGGCACGTTGGCCAAGGCTCTTTCCTCGGTCTCGGGTCTGGGGAACTGGGGAGGGTGCTCCTCGCCCTTCTCCCCAAGAACAGATTGTGCTTGGAGCCAGACTCCTCCCATGTTCCGCGCGCCAGCATTTTTAAGTAGTTAATGTTGACAGATAACATAGAGCTCTGGTAGGTTTGCCAGCACAGCCCACTGGCTTCCAGTTCCCGGTGGCCGGGCTGGGAAGCACCGCTGTTGAGAAGTGGGGCCAGGCTCTAGGAGAAGGGAGAGGGCCGGGCAGGGTGATGGCACATTTGTCCCACTGTTGGTGCAGAAGCAGGAGTCTCAAGCACAACCCTTAGCCCTGCTCTGTGGGACTTGAGCTCAGTGTCCCTCAAAGTTTCTGCCAACTGTTAAGTGTTAGAAGCAGTGTTATCAGAACATCATTCCATCATCTTTCCCTGACCAGAAATGTTTGCAGCGCAAGGAGATTCCTGTCCCCAAGGGCTTCCTGACTTCCTCCTTCTGGCGTTCCTGATGGCACAGCGTCATCCACCGTCACCACTTTGTGGCAGAGGAGCACTAATAAAGCAGCGCAGCACAGCCGCGTTTGGGAGAGCACTGTCGGGTTTAGACATCTACCAATATGTATTCTTATTTATTTATACCTTGTGACCAGGGAAGGTTTTCATGGGTCACAAGATCTAGGTGGTCTGATGCCTCCTTAAAGGATCCGTATGACACAATACATGGATTTGGCCTTCTCACGTTTACAAAAATTTTGAGAGGTGTTTCGCACTTGACTTAGTATCTTTTGCAATGTAGGTGACACCTAAGCATTTCGCTCTGAGCTGGAGGGAGCCCACCACTTCCAGGTGTCATTCAGTAGTTGAGGCCCGAGCCCCGACATGCGAGCCTGAGAGTGGTTGCTCCGCCTTTCCCAGCTGGCGAAGTGATTGGAAATGCGGAGGACGTGCTGGAGGCAGACCTGGACTTAGTCGCGGGTGGTGCCCGGCGGCTCAGTGCCTGGGGCGAGGACGAGCCACGTGGTATAAACCGAGAGGCGCTATTCGCCGTTCGCCCTCTTCGTTCCAACTCGGTGCCTGGGTGACAAGTGACGCGTGACCAGGGCAGGTGCCTTGGTTTTTGGTTTTTCAGTTTGAATTAAGATGGGCTGAGACGGGCCGCCGCGTCGTACACAAGCTGAGCATCCATAAGCAACGCATTAGGGTTGAATGAAGATGTTAGGAACTGAGAACTGCTTCATGTGTGTTTTTTACTTGCTCTAACAAGTGACAATGGACTTGTCTGACTACACCCACTGCAGAGATCCTAGGCATTTCAGAGGAGCCGAGATTTCTGTGTGGAGACGCCCACCATCTTTATATTGCAGAGGCTGTGGCCACAGTCTCTGCCTCCTCAGACGTCGTGCGTGGGGACGGAATGTTTTGAGGGAGAGCGGGTTTCCCTGGTACTGTTGGAGCGACCGTTCTATGAATTATTTACTATGGTGCCAAAAAATAAGTAATAAAGCTTGAACTTTAAAAAGTCATTGCTGGTATCTAATTGGTTCAATGTGATGAACTTCCTATGCCCTGAGCAGTCAGCCCCTGGGGCATGTAGTGCCCACATCTGGGAGTAGAGGAGCGTTCACACACTTTCCCTTTTTTGTTTGCTTCACCTTGGGGAAATTGTTTTTGTTTTTAATTATGGAGCAATAACTGGTCGTTTTATGCAGCTGAAGTGGGAAAAAGAGATTTGCAACGTGGATGCAGTGGAGCGAACACTGGGAGACTTGGGCTCAATTCACTTTCATGTTTTGTGGCCTTGGGTAGGTCCTTCAACCTCTGAACCTCAGGATCCCCACCCGCAAAACACAGGAATTGGACTAGTCGGTGGGTCAGTAGGTGAGACCGTGCTCCGTAGCAGAGTCTCAGTGCTTCCCTGCCTGTGTGTCAGGGTCCACCTGTCTCAGCATCTCAGTATCATGCCAGGGAACAGGCTGGGAAGCACTGACTTCAGGGTGTTGAGTGGATGGGGCTCTGCTCTGTAGTCAGTCAGCATATGGAGGCTTTTATGCAGATTTTCAAAGGGTGTCCCTTCAAGATCCTGCTGCCAGCTCTGGAAAACTTGTCCTATTTATAACTGAAAGCCCATGGTACTAGGAGGTGAGTGGTGCCAGCTAGCGCTACACAGCTCACATCTCGCACCTCTCCGTGGGGCCCCAATGGAGCTCCGGGTTCCTCTCCACAGCACGTCTGCTTTCTGTGCTCTGTGTGTTGGGGTTCTGTGTAAGGTTACATGTGGAATAGTTCCTCTGCCAAAAATGAAATGTGGAAAATCAGCGGACAGGATGATCCCCAAGGTCTCGGCTACCTTGACTTTGTGCCACTCCATAGGAAACACCTCTCCAGGTACTCGAATGTTCGGTCTCCAGACGTGTGTAACAGCAGTCTCGCCCGCGTCATTCAATGCGTGGTATTCCTAATGGGCTCCTTACGGTAAACCAAGAAGGTGGCGGTGGGGAGGCCGGGTTTTTGATACTCCTGATGGTGTCACCTTCAGAGATAGGGACTGCTAGTTGATAGAGGCAGCTCCTGATGGGTATCGGCGTTGGATTCCTCAGAGCAAAACCCTAAGGACTGCACTCTGTTTTTAAATTCAAGTGCTCACTTGGCTGCTGGCTTCCTTTCGGGTTTGACCTCATTTCTCAGGCAGAGTGCCTATATTTTTGTCATATTGTTGTCCTACATCCCATTAAAGCAATTTTAAAAAATACATAGCTTTGTTGATTTCAGAGAGAGGAAAGGAGAGGGGGAGAGAGATGGAAACATCAATGATGAGAGCCATTGATCGGCTGCCTCCTGCACCACCCCCCCCCACTGGGGATCCAGCCTCAAACCCGGGCAGGTGCCCTGACTGGGAACTGAAACTCGATCTCCTGGATCATAGGTTGATGCTCAACCCCTGATCCACGCCAGCTGGGCTATTCAAGCAAATTTGATGATGAATTGAAAATTCTGAACCGAACACGTCTCGAGTAGAAGAATGGCGTTCTGGGGACATCCCCCAGGCACTGGGAGCTTCCCCCCACTTCTCAAGCTTCCTTTGATGGTAGCAGTGATGTAATGAGGTTTGGACATCTCCTATCTTGGTGCTGGGACACCCAGAAGAGCCACAGAGCTTCCCACGGGTGCCTTACCGGGCCTGGAAATTCATTCCCTCTTGTCTGCTTTACCTAATGAATTCCCTGGTACTGGTCTTCTGTGGACCTGCAGAGAGCAGATGAGAGCTACTCTTCTAGCCGTATGAGTTTACAGAAACACCCATTTTAAAGGAATGTACCTTCCAGTTTACAGCCCAGCTTCCTTTCTAAAAAACTACTTTCTACAGAGCACGTACTCAAGAAGCATTTCTCTTTTAGTGCCTTCAGGACGAATGCACTAATGTATCACGCTACCCTGAACCAGAAAAAATACCTTTTTGTGTGTTTGCCCAAAAAGAGACATTGGGACACTGTCAAAACTTGAGTAGGTTCTATATGTTAGGTAACACTGTTACGTCAGCATTGATTTCCTGACTTAGATCATTGTACTGTGCTTCTAAAAAAGAAAGAAATGCACATGAAGTACTTGGAGTAAGTGGGCATGGTATGTGCACCTTACTCTCAAATGATTCGAGGCAGGGGGAAAGCAAAGGTCTATGCACGTGTGTGTGTGTACGTAAGTATATGATACATAGGGTAGTACAGCAAATGTGGCCTGGCTGGTGTGGCTCAGCGGTTGAGCATTGACCTAGGATCCAGGAGATCGCAGTCCGATTCCCGGTCAGGGCACATGCCTGGGTTGCGGGCTTGATCCCCAATGGGGGGGCGTGCAGGAGGCAGCCGATCAATGACTCTCATCATTGAGGTTTCTCTCGCTCCCTCTCCCTTTATCTCTGAAATCATTATGTATTTAAAAAATTAAAAAAAATACAGCAAATGTGGTCAAATGTGAACAAATTGGGGAATCTGGGTGTAGAGCATGTCGGATTTCATTCTGTTACTCCTGTAACCTTTCTGTAAATGTGAAATTATTTCAGAATAATTATTTCACCCCCATCAAAAACATAGAAAACCCCCC